AGCCGAGGTTGATCGATTTACACTCGGGTCGACAGCCCCATTGCCCTAGGGCGCCCATCCTTCTCTGAGCAGATATTCTGTCTCTTTGCAAAGAGCGGCCTTGCAAGTGCCGACGTCAGAACCCTCTCGAAGAAATTGCCAAGGCTGCCAAGGCTGTTCCGGGGTGTTGAGGGAACCTGAAGCTCCAATCCAACAAACACTCAAACACATGGGCATCGCTTCCCAATGCGAATCTCTGACACCAACTTGCAGCCACAAACTCGAACGCACTGCAGTTCGGGCGAAACTGTGGGCTCAGATCAGACTACCTGCACCTCTCGCATGCCTTTCGGGGTCGATGCGCCGACGGCTCTGTAAAACCCGACTGCTAGCAGCTCGGAGTGGCAGGAAGCTTTGCTAAACCTGCAACCCATACGACGCTTCCAATAGCTTCCTGCGTTCAAAGACAAGCTACGTTCACGGCTTCGGACCAGTTCAACTGCTTCACAAGGACAGTGGGGAGGAAGCATCCGCTAGATGCTCGCGAAGGCTCACAAATTCAAAATATTCTACATTCTAAGGTTTAGGAGGTTGTGCCCACAGTTCCCCGCAAGATGTCGACGCACCCCACTGGAAAAGCACGTATATGTTGGGGCTTGAGAGAAACAACGTGATTCTGGAAGTTCCTGCTTAGATCCACAACCTTGCGATGTTCTGGACTTCGTGTTTTCGCTTTCCTCGCTGGATGGGGGGACCCGCAGACAAAAGGCCCTGAAGTGCTTCTCCGTCTATGCGGGATATCTTCCGCGAGCGGCATCTTGTCGCAGGGCTCCCGGGCCTGCGTGCATGCTACGTTCCCTCCTTTGTGCTGTCGAACATGCCCGATTAAGAGAGTTCCCGTCTAGGATGTTCTGGCGATGTTGGGGATCTGTGTGCAGATCTTCTCTTCTTTGAAGGTCTGGTGTCAGCTGGAGGCAAGGTCCCCCTGAGTTCAAAGGCGCTGTCAGCAAAAGAACCGTAGAAAAAACCCAAGAACCATGGAAGCTTCCGTTCATGGTCGTCTTCACGGGAAGTCTCCAAAAGGGGCGTGGTGCTGTGCTGTGGAAGGCTGGGTGCCTCTCGGGGTCCTGAGAGAATCGAAACGAACAAAGCAGACAGTAGTCAGCTTGTGCCCCATCCTCCTTATGCGTCTGCGCTGATTCGAGGGCTCCGCCGGTCGGATTAGGCCCAAAAGATCGTGGACGACAGTTGTGACCAGCTTGTAGGTACATCGATGCGACGTTGCTACAACGTTTTAAGCAAACCCACACCCCCAGGTGCACTGCTGCAGGACACCCAATTCCGCGTGTCTCCGCATTCCGAGCAGTGGACTCGGCACAGCACCAGAGCCAAAAAAACATCCACACACTAAGAACTCGCTTGCTGGCAATGCACGAGTATGATTTCAAGCACGGAGATCTGCTCTTGGGATGAGATGGCAGGCCGCATGTCAACAGCTCTTCACGTCCTCAGATCCTTCCTGACGTGTTTCAGTGACCCTGCGATGCGGCCATGCCAAACCCTGGATTGCGGCGTCCGCCTTAAGGATGCGAAACAATTATAAACACTTTGAGAAGCAGCGCGAACCTATCTCTTGCAAGGCGCGACACACAAGCAGGTATTGCCAAGGGAGCAGATGTCCAAGCGTGAATTCCGCGCGGGCAGGCACCAAAACACCAGAGCATACCATAGATGGGACAGTTCTGCTATTTTGACAAATTCACCTGGGAGTAACTGGCAAAGAAGATTCCATAAGAAGTACAGAAAGCATTTGACTCATGTCGAAGAACCTCCCCACGTTCCAAGTCTTAGTTTTAGTTGGAGTGTCCACACCTCTGTTCGGCTGTCCTTGCAGTGCACACCGAGACCTGTCTCAAGCCACCAATTATGCCGAACAGTCAAATGCTGAATCCTAAACATCCTATCTTCTGCTTCCTCTGCACGGCTTCACGCCTCAGTAAGTAAGTTCTGAAACGAACCGCCTGCCTGCCCATGCTGTGAGGAGGGATCAACAACAGACGCCTTCCGTGTTGGCCCGAAGGAGTGAGACTTCAGTGTTGCAGGGTCGTGGTTGAAGTCCGGATCCGGACGGTGGCTGGGCGCAATCTGGGGGGATCGGCAGAACACGGGGAGACCTAAGCACAAACCCCCACATCGAAGAAAACAGTGGGTAGCAAAAGCACATTTGAACAAAGGAACCTGGCGGGCTCTGGTAGAGTTTCTGAGCTCTTGGTGGCCTCCGTCCTGCCCTGACCGCAACCATCGGGCTCATGCGGCCCCGAGAAACGGCTGTCGCCCTTCTCACAACCAGAAGGAGCCTCGCCAGGGACTGCAAGCTTTGGCCTTTGCAAGGTGTTGTGACACATGCCGATTGCTTGTTGTTTGCCTTTCACCTTCCATGGTTGAGCTGAGTCTTCATCACACCGTCTTTCCAAGATCAAAGGCAACTGCGGGCCTTACCTCGGTCTCAGACATAGGAAGTTCTGCCATGCCCGAAACCAGCTTCTAGAACACCTCCCGGAATCTTTCAAGGCCCATCGAATGAATCCACTCAACCGCCCTTCGAATCCGACCCAGGGCAAGTTGTTCTTCAAGATCTGCCTCCCGAATTCTGTTCAGCTGGTTCAGCTTCGGCTTCCTCTACCTCTGCTTCTTGCTCTTGCCGGCCTGGGGCGCAGGAGCAGGGATGAGGCTTGAAAAGGATAGGGCCTACAGCCTGCCATCTAAGTTGACGAGGAGTGTTAAGATTTCTGAAGTGGATTGTTGAAGATGATGTCCCATCACCTAACTCCTCGCTGGCTCAATATTGCAAATGGTAGGGAAGGCTTTGCCAAGGAGACATGGGTCTGTCCCCAAATTGTGAACCCCACCGTCGGGTTCCTGGACACGTACAAGATCCCATTTGCTTGTTGCCTGTCTGGTCTCCAGTTCTTGAATTTGGGAGGGGAGACAAGGCGCCCGATGCAGCGAAAGGTCCTGGAAAAAGACACTGGACGCCCAAACTCGTCCAGCCTTGAAGCCTAGACCGGTTCTGTGAACACTGCTGCTTTGCTTCATTATGTAAGCGGGGGTCAGCTTGTTGAGGTGAGGTCACCTCTGCAGGCTTGGGCCATCCTGAAAAGCCAATCTCGCCCGGAGGCTTGGGCCTTCTCTCCTCCGTCGGCGAGCCGCAAGATGCAGGAGGCGCCGGCGCTGCGATACCTGCGCGCGCACGTGCGAACATCCGCCCCACACAGGCTGCTTCGAAGAATGGAGCACTGAAATACATGAAGAAACATGAAGAAATTGAGCCGCTGGCCTGCTTCGCTGTGCAGAAGTGACAGTGCAAGCACTGGTCTCCCTTCCGGCCTGAGCATTTGCAAGACTCACCATTCAATGCCGCGGGCCAAACGCAAAAGCAAGCCACGGGTTGCAAAGACTGCTTGTGAGACCCCTCGTCCAAGCCTGGGCTGCTGGGTACCAAGTCTTGGGGTGGGCGGGAGTTGCGCAACCCGCTACCGATCCAAGCTGAGCCCAAGGCAACCATCTTCCTTTTTAACCTCAGGGAGGATACGATGAAACCAAGATGGGGCTTTTGGACTGTTGGGCAGTACTAGTTTCGCACTCGGCATTTGTGGAGTGTAGCACGGAAGCTTGACAAAGGCCCATCGGCACAGAATTTAGATTCAGGTCTCGTTCCTGGGGCAGTCACGCGATCCTCAGCTTTCACAACCTACAGTAGACTCCCAACAACTGCAGATTTATGCAGACAGGCACCCCTCAATATGAAATAAGTCTGCACCATGCTATGTCACCGACCTGCATACTTCGGCATGATGGGCCAATGCCACATCGCACTTCGGCGGCTCCCCATCTCTGCATCTGACCACAGACGACTTCGGCTGAATTGCAACCGAGCGGGCATGAAAGAGGCACGGCAGGCACTGCCCCGCGACATGCAGCTGCCACCTTCAAGCCACGAATCCAATCGGATTTTCATGTCCAAACCGTTGATGCTTTCATCAACTTCAGCTCTGCAAGTAAGTGCGTCTGAGCAAATTTCAGCACAGCATCGCATACCACGTAAAGACTGTGATGCTATTTGGTTGAGGCATGGGAAGTAGTTTCCGGGGGTGGTGCCAGCCTTTTCAAGAAACCCCTCATGCTCACGACATCCCCGTCGAAGTCCTGGACTCCCCCCGCAGCAAGGCCTCTCCTCGGGAGTCCGATTTCCTCGGGGACCGAGACAGGAAGCTACAAGTTGAGCTATTGAAAGCATCTGTTTGAAATCCCAGCCTCCGCTTGGAGCTACGGCTACGGGTTGAAGACGTTGTCACAGAAGCGCTGCGGTCACGCACTACCACTGGAAATCAAAGACCTGAATAAACTTGCCCTTGGCCCCAGACTTGGCCTGAGGCGAAGACTTTGGAGGAAAACCGGAGTCTCATTTTCATCCCGCAGCAACTCCTTAGCCCGTTCAGCGATCGGACCACTCAAGTGCCCCAGCTTGTGGTTTACTGCACTGCACATTCGGATAGAGAGACTGCACCCTTGTGACCTCGGAAACCTTTGACTAACCGACCGGACCTCCTCTTTAACTCACTCCCTTAACTCTTCAACCCCTAAGAAACCGAAGCTGAGCCCTGGCCACGCCACAGGCGCTTCGTGGCGCTGGCGGGGCTCTGGACGCCAGGGAGGGCGGATGTCCTCCGTGTTCGAAGGCCTATACCTACCGTCCATGCGCGGTGAGCCGATGCGACGATGGGAATCGACTACCCAAGCTTTATGCCGATGTTATACTAAATCCCCCCTGGGGTAACAGCTACCAGAGGGGAGTGGTGCATGTGATATCCTTCCTTATGCCACTGTACCGGGGATTGATCCAATCAATGCAGCTCTCACTGTGGGGTGTAGATCCTCACATCCTCACCCAAGCCCCTCAATCCTAGAAACCCTAAACAAAAAATGCTGAAACCCTACAAATCCTAGCACCAAGCTCCCTCCTGGCTTCTGACGTGAGCCTCGGCGACATAACCCGGCTCGGCGCCTTTCGGCGATGGGAGAATTAGATTTGGGTCGCTTTGGTGATAGACATAAGAACTTACGGGCGCTTAGCAGCGATGTTCCTTCTTCTTAACGAGCACTGGTTCTCATTGTGACCTTTGGCAATACGCCTCCAGTTCTATGCCCGAGATCGTGGAAAGCCCCGCAGCCCAGGCACGAGAAAACTCGGAACAAAGCCAAGATCGCAAGAAGCTCCGAGCAGCATCAATGCTCACCTCGAACGCTCTGCCAGGGAGGCCCGCTGTCTGGCCAAGGGGGCGAAAGCAGCGAGTTGGCACGGTGCCTGGATGACTGGAAAAGGTGAATGTTGCGTTAGGGGGCCAAGGGATTCTGGCCCTGGCAGAGAGGCCCCCGTTAAGAGGGGCGCACGCGTCTCCGTGTTATCCGTGCTCCTTCCACGGTGCTACGAAGTTCTGGTGCGTGTTCTGCTGTGCCAAGCTTGCCGGTAGACTGTTCGGGTCTGTGCTGGCAAAACGATCCAGCACCTGCAGCTGCTGCAGAACACCGTCGATCGCAGACCCCGAAAAACTGAAGCATCTGAGGAAAGGACCTGACAATCAAGGCCCAACAAAATTCGAATTGCAGTGAAGGGCTTTGTGTCGTGTTTTGCCAGACGAAGCAATCCCCTGCTTGGGCATAGCCTTGACTGCGAAACGATAGACCCTCTGAGGCTCAAGAGATCGAAATCCCCCTCACACTCCGCACCCCAACCCTGCAGTCATGCAGTAAGCCCAAACCAGGGCCCCATGCGCCGACTGCCAGGCTGAAGACGCGGACAGGCTTTGCCTAGGTGTTCGGATGTGCAAACAACTCCAGGAATCTTCAAGCCGATAAGGGGTTTTGCAGGGGTTTCGGAAGGCGAAACTGGTTGCCTCGAGGTTCCGAAGGTGCTCAAAAGTGGCGGTGAGTCCAGATATTCGGGTGGCGGTTGTGGGCGATGGGCGCCGATATCCACCGTAATTTCCCTCAGTCCTCTCTGAAAATCCTCCTACAAAAACATTGGCAAGTGATTTCAGATGTACTCAAAGGTTTGCACTCATCTCTCAGAAGAGCAGGCAAATTTCGGAAGCAACGATTGAAGAAACCTCAAAGCTTTACATCTCCGCGTGGCACGAACCGTTCCCCGAGGTTTCTTTTCGAAACGCCCCGGAATCTGTGGTGAAGTGGCATCTGGCAGTAAACATGAAGCGAAGTTTCCTTCCCTGGTTCTTTTATAACATTGTGCAGCATGCGTTTGTGATCAAAAAGATTTTTGTGACGGCGTGTTCTCGCTGCCAAGGCTTCTAAGTCCCAAGTCTTGCTCCAAAAACTTATCCGACCAAAGTTCTGGCAGTGTTCCTACCTTGTTTGCAGCTGCACAGCCGAGGCGTGCATTGAACAAGCTACATTTTACACAAATCTTCGCTACAATCGGCACTTCCGCTTGTCCGCCCCGCACCTGTGCTGTGTGTGCCGAGTTCCGTTCGTCGCTGATCTACATGCTCGTGGTGCCCTTCGCCGAAAACTTCTCTACAGGGCGGCTCCTTACCTTGCTTGCACAACTTGAAAACCAACCGAAGGAACCAGGCTTAATTTGATCCAATCTCCTGGCGGAACCCTCCACTCCAAAGCCCGGCGGCGCAGGTGCAGAAGCCTCCCACGGTGACCAAGAAGAGCCGGCTCCCGCCGCGCCCAGGCCTTGCAGAGTAAAATCCTCAAGCCAGGCGTCAGCAACGGCCCCTCCCTGCCTGAATTTTCCCCAGGCCAGGCGCTTACCGGGAGTGTGGGCACCTCCAGGGCCGTTGCTATCCGGTCCAAATCGGATCTCACACGCTGAGCAGCTCAGAAGGTCTGTGAAATGCTGATGGAAACGCGAGGCTTTGCAACCATGAGCAAAAAACATCTCGCTCCCTTCGAATCAGTGCTCCGCTAGCGGCGAGCAACCCCCCCTTCAAGGCCTGCCATGGCGAGCCCCTGCCCTTGGCTTGAGCCATCGCCCTTCTGCGAAAAAACGGAAATAAGGCGGCGCAAGCACGCTGGTTTCGCAGTAGCTTCGTCCAGAGGTGCAGGGCTCGGGCAAAGTTCCACACTCCCTCAACTCTCCCGTACAGAGAAACTCCCAAACATAGCGTGACAGCGCTTTGCAGCCATCTCGACAAGCAAGCAGGCAGCCACCAATGGTTCTGTGCAGAGAAACAGAGCCCGTCTGGCGGCCCCGGCTCCTCTGGCGATGCCTGAAGGAGACTGCCGAATCCGCACATGCAACATCATGCAACCTGAGCACCTACGAAAAAGCTGGCAGCCTGCACCTGCGCGGTCTTCTTTCTGGTGGGCAGGGCCACGGCCAAGGTGCTGACCTTCTTCCGACAACAGGCACTAGGCAACTCTACACGAAGTCGTGAAGCCCATGGGGCACTTAGTGCGGCTTTGTTGTAGTTTCAGAAAGAAAGCTGAACTCGAAAGGCTGAAGCAGAGGCCGTGGCCAATCTCACGCGTCTCTCGCTGACCTCAACATGTCAATTTGATTTTCTTTTTTGTTTTCTTGATTGAAGCAGTAGAGGTGTGTATCAGAGGCCTGGGGCCACAAAGAGCGGTCCGGCGGGATATTTCAAAGCAGCGAAAGACGCCAGATGTCAACAGTCAAACCATGCTGATCCGCTCCGGGCAGGGCCACCGGAAATCCACGACCCTCTGCTTGCTGGTCGTGGCACCAATACGTGCCCAGATCTTCCGAAGAACAATGAACAAGGGAAGCATGCTAATTTGCAGCATGATGAGTCAAAAGGAGCACTTATTTAAGGTAGGCTTGCTCAATTAAACACGTTTTTTGAGTAAATCGGTGTATCAATGCTTTTACTTATTGTCGGAAGCAATTCGCAGAGCATTGAGGCCTCCCCTTCCAGCACACAGGCCAGTCTCGCCAAACTGGGCACCCCCAGCAAGCACGTTAGCGCATCGTCTTGCTGTCATGCACTGTCGGTCATCGACAGCGCGTTGGCCACAAGGGTGCGATTCACCATGCATTGTTGCCTCTTCGGGGCGGGCATTAGCCCATGGCAACTGCAGAGTGGTCCCACGTGTGCAGCCCCACACCTGGCCAGCAGTGTGATGGCTCGGCATTGGCACCAAAGAGCCGTTTGGGTAGGGCGAAATTGCGAACCGGAGCAGGATGAGACGTTTGCGCACATGCAGAATCTGCAAGCTGACAACCTTAACAGACCTGAGTTACCAGTGCGGCACCTTCTGCCCAGCGGTGCTCCACTCCCTCTGCCGCTACAAGGACACACACAACGGGTCGAGACCTTCAAGCTCTTGCATCGACAAGGTCAAAGCTTGAGAGGCCCGAGCTGTCGTTCGTATCGCTGGAGCACAGCGGCCTGCGAAGGGGGCCGGCTTGGTCGGCTACTCAGTACAGGTCTCTTGCTCTGCTCTGAAAGATTACTCCAACATTCTGCCTAGCTCGTAGCTGCGTAGCTCTGGCCTCAAGAGCCCAGAGTTGTGCAGACCTCGCTATTTCGCACCTTCGGAGCCAGGGAGGATCTGTGCTCCTGGCCTTCAAATGGACACGTCGAGGGTAGACCTTCCACGCGGCACTGCACCGAGAAGAGCGCTCTCGGAGCTGCGGCCGAGCCGCCAAGGCGGAAGCTGTACATTGCCTGCTGTTTCGCACTTTGCGCGACTGTCGGTCACTCACGGCGCCGAGGGAAGTATGAAGATCAGTCGGTCTCTCCAATGGTGCAGTAACCTTACTTGAGTGCGGCGCCCTAAGCATTGAAAACAGCACGCAAAGCGCAATAAGTCTCGCGTTTGTACATTCGCTGTCAACGAACCTCTCATGGACCCGTCGATAATACGGCTGGCCCACGAGGAACTTGAAAGAAAAACAGAGAAACCTGTGCGTGATCCCACTTCTCCTTTGCTTGTGCATGAACTCTCCATATTCCGCTCCTCTCTGCATCGAAGCCCAGGTCCTCGAGTCTCGGGGCTGAGGCTAGTGGCTTGCAGGTTCTTGCTTCTCAGCAAACCCTGGACCTACCAAAGCTCCAAGCCCTGGAAGTGAGAGCACACTCGCCCAGCACAAGCAGCGCAGCACCTGGGTCTTGCTGAGGCGTTGTAAATTGAAACGATTCAAAGACGCGAGGAACCAACTCCTTCCGAGGTCAGCGGAATCGAACACGACAAAGAGGACGGTAACCCCCTGCTTGAAATTCCTAAAGCTATGTTCCTCGGAAGGAGCTGTTGCATTCTTGGCACCTCAGCTAAATAGCGGCCTGCCGGCTGGCCAAAGCTTGTTGCATCTCGGGGAATCAACGCCAACGTGCTGCAGCAACAGACAGAGGGTTGAGGATCAGGGAGGCCGAACCAGCAGCTAGCAAACCAATGCAGCACGCGAGGCTACCAGACAGACGATCTTTGTCGGACTTTACCTCCGGACTTTGGGAAACTCATCACACTTCTCCTCAAGCGACCCGTCTGCAAATGAACATTAAATTAACTCAACACCTGCCTGGCACTTCCAGTGAATCCATGATGATTTCAAAAACTAGGTGGATTAGGGCCACTGCCAGTTGGTGCCTATCCACTTCAGGGCAAACTCTATAGTCTATGGCAGATCGGATCAAATGTTCAGTTTCTGTACTCGTGTGTTCGCATCAACATTCGGTGACAAGCGATGTGGTGCACGTAAGCACTTGCTTACTGTTCAACGATGAGAGGATATTGGCCGGAGCCCACATAATGATCGCGAATGTAACGAAGCCCGGCACAGACTTAGCGCTGTCAGGGTCGTCCGCCTGAGGCCTCTCACTGCCTGTGACAGCTCACTGCTCAGTTCTCGCCTCAGCGAAACCCCTAATATCTCTGTAGCTTCAAGCGGCTCGATAACTTCATCTGAGATGCCACTTTCTAGCAAGTATCCCGGTGCATAGGGACGATTCCATGCCTTGCGTCGCAGTCCTTCTTGCTATTCCTGGAAGTTGACCGCACGACTAGCAGGAACCAGTACTTCGGATCCAAGACCACCGGCTGATTCTCGAGAGCAATGTTTGCTGCACCCCATTCAACAAGAATGTGTTCCAGCCAAAACGGTTCTGTGATTCTATGGCCCTGACGCCTACATAACAGGGACGATCAACGGCTCCTCCTCGTACTCCTGCCAGCCTTGAACCCTGGCAGACGTGTTTCAGAGATATACGTTGCTTCTTGGGCAGGGTTTTAGCGGGACGTCTGCGCGTAGGAGCTGTTTGCCTAGATCCTCCCAAAACTCCACGAAACTCCGGAGTTTTTTCGAAAATCTCCACTGGCCTCCCATCCAGACTCACGATGAGCCTCGAATGGTGCTCCTCGTCCTGGTCTAAAGTTGAAGCGGGTTCCTTTCCATGTCGAAGAGAGTAAGGCGGAAGGTGGCGGGTCCCGAGACTTCCTGAGCTTGGAAACCTTCATCGGATGGGGCCCAGGTCCAAACGCCTGGCTCTGGACCTCTGAGAGTTTTAACCCTTTCCAGCCTGGAAAGGAAGTTCCGAAGCTTTGAGGTCACGCTGCTGCTTCTCGTGCTTCTTGCGGTGGAAAAGCTTCAGCCTGGCCAGGCGAAGAGCTGTGAGGGTTCAGCAGTCAGGACAAAACCCGCAAGCGGAAGACTGCAACGGGCGATCTGAGCCCATGCTTCATGCAGTTTATGTGTGTTGCACTGCATGGGCCGAGAACCAGAACAGGCCTCCGCAAATGCATGCATCCACTTGACAGAAGTCCCAGGTTCTAGCTTCAAGGAGCTGCCTAGAAGCTCCACGTGCAGCCATCAACCTCAAGCCGGAAAGCCCGAGTCCCTGAACTTGGTCTGGACCTGCTTGCGAAGCAGGAGGGCTGAGGAGCATCGATCTCCTGTGCGGCGCCGGGATTCGGAGTTGGTGTTCGAGACTGGGTTTTTGTCGGTTCGTGGTTCGTACGACTGTGACAATTCTGACCAAGCGTTGGCGAGGCTGCAAGTGACGCGTTGTCTTGAGAGTTCTCCTTTGGTGATTTCGGGTCAACCTCATCATAAGAGTATGTCTGTTAGCCCTGGTTCCGGCAGCCTACTCCAAGTCAGCCGTTGTACCTGCTAAGCAGCTTTGACCACCTAGAACCAATCTAAAAGTCCCGGCCTCCATGTCCCACAACACTGGAGTGACCCTATATGGAATCCTACATTCACAGTCAAGAGGATTCGGTTCCTGACGTCACCAGGCGGGACCGGTTGCGCATGCAGCGGTTCCGCTGCGAATTCTTGATTTTCGATCCACATCTCGCTCTCGCCAGTCCAGCGCACAGGCAGCATCCACTAGGCAACAAACCTCAACCTACCTGCCAAATCCCTGATCCTCCAAACCGAGCAGACCTACAAGCCCCAAATCCTAAGACGGTGCTGCAAGCTATGCTAGAGAGGACCCCTAAACCTTCGGCCCAGAGAACCTCCAGGTTGTGGATGATGCCCTCCGAGTCGATGCTACAGGTTCGCTCGAGGCGGTGCGACTCGGAGCAGTGCCTGGGCTGATCGCTGCTTCCATTAGCGAAAAGGCGAAAGGATAAAAGCCCCAAGAGTTTTCAGCAGAGTCCCAAACACAGAAAACACATAATCAAGGCAACGTGGCAGCACGCCCTCCGAGTCCATGCTGCAGGTCCTCCCGACGTGTGCGTGAGAGTCCAAACCTTCCGAGGCCTTCTGCGACAGCGCCTTGAAACGGAAAAGCTTCCCTTCCTTGCTAAGCTGCTAAGCCTTGCTCGAGTCCTTTCAAAGGGGATAGCTGGGCCGAAGTCCATGACGGGCGTGGTGGTCCCGGAGTTGTTCACGTACACCTGCCCACGTTCAACCGGTTCAATGTCCCGGCTGAGCAGGCTCTGAAACCGAACTCTCAAAGCCTTCACAGAAGGCATGCCAATACGCACAATGCACCACGGACAGCAAACGAGAGGGCGAGAGCAAGAGAGAAAGATAGGCACAAAGCTAAACGAAGCAGAACATTCCCTGCATGCCGAGGAGCATCGTTCCAGTCTTCGTGCAGATGGTTGACGTGGCCGGTCGCCTCCACCTTGCTAAACATAAAGGCCGTACCAGGGATCTCAATCTTCAGGGATGGGCAACGTGTGCTTGCAAGAGATCGCCATTCTGGCATCAGATGTCACCCGACGACGTCTAAATCCCACCCAGACATGGTTTGGGTACTGCATTGAACCACCCTTTGCAAGCCAAACTCCGAGCTCGGCCTGCCATCGCGAGTGCCTGGCAGAGAAGCATCGAAGCTCTTGTCGGACTGCGTGGGATGCCCGGAAGGTTGCTTTATCAAGAAAGCCAGTGCATACTTGCCCAAGAACAAGCTGCTCTCGGGTCGGTCAGTTCTTGACTCTCAAGACAATGGCAGTCGTTTCAAGCTTGATTCGAGCCTGTACGAGAGGGATCGCAAGGCCAACGGATCCCCAGTGTTTCGGAGTTGACGGCTAGCCTAGACCCTAAACCGTAAACACTGAAAGTCCCATGCTTCGGGAATTCGACCGGGAGGCTCCCAGTCTCCGACCTCAACCCTCGGCCCACCGGGCACCCGCCTCTTCTTGTGGAAGAGCTTGAGCCTGAGAGTGCTTGGCAAACTTCAAACTGTCAGCTAAAGAAACCAAACCTGGGTGGTCGCAGACTGGGCCCAGCAGAGTTTCTGAAACCAAGGCGCTGCTCCAGGACGCAGAATTGCTGACAAGACCCTACCTGATCCTTGCAGTACTGAAGCTTTGCGTGATGGATCAGAAAACCGCTCTGCAGCCCTGGTCGCAAGCCGCAACTTTGGTGTGAATCCCTGGTCCGCCCTGGCTCAAAGCCGCCGCGCAAGGCGAACAAGGCTGCCAAATCCTACACTTCCTTTTTCAGTGTGCGCTTGACTGCTTTTTCGAAGGGATTGCAAGACTCCGAAGGCGATCAAAAACCCTGCCATTTTTTGCCACCGCACCTCTCCCAGCAGTGGACGTCTGCGGGCGACTGTGGCGGCTTGAGACCGGCGATGTCGTGGACCTTTGAGGTCGAAACTTCCTTCTGCGAGTTTCGGTCAGTGGACAACGCTGTGTCCTTGCTTGCTGCACCTCTTGCCGCCACATCTCCTCCGCCAACGCCCGGAAACCCAGCTTTGACCCAAGGCGAGCCGCATGTCCCTCCAGATCGATGCGGCAGACAGGCCTCGGAGGCTGAACTATGTCTCATTGGCCCAGAATACTGCAGATAACAGAGGGGTTAAGTAAGTAAGAGAGAGAGAGAGAGAGAGAGAGAGAGAGAGAGAGAGATACAGAGAAAGAGACAGAGGGAAAGAGAGGGAAAGAGAGGGAAAGAGAGGGAAAGAGAGGGAAAGAGAGGGAAAGAGTGGGAAAGAGAGGGAAAGAGAGTGAAAGACAGGGAAAGAGAGGGAAAGAGAGGGAAAGAGAGGGAAAGAGAGGGAGACAGAGAAAGAAGAGAGATAAAGAGAGAGAAAGAGGGAGAAAGAGGGAGAAAGAGGGAAAGAGAGGGAGGGAGAGGGAAAGAGAGAGAAGGAGAGGGAAAGAGGGAAAGAGATGCAGGGAGGCAGGGAGAGAGAGACCGGGAGACCGAGAGATGGGCAGAGAGAGAGAGGGAGGCAGGGATCGGTTCCTGCTACCATTCCAGGCCCAGGGCGGATGCAGCGGTGCAGTGCTCGCCTTGTGCACGGGGGTCCTTGGGCTTACCGGTCGTGAATGCCGTTGGATCAAGCGAAGCTGATTCGAGATGCGTGACGGATGCTATCCACGACCGGTGCTGTGTATCACAAAGTGCCCGGCCAGTTCATGACTGTTACAGACAGGCTGTCATCTGCCAGTTTTCCGCAAGGCCGAGTGAACCCTACTTGCATCTTTAACTAAACCACTGCAATGCTGTCCAAAGCCGAAAATTCCAAAGCCCTCTAGAACCTCAACTCATCCGAGAGGCGTAGGAGGCGTGGGCAAGACCCAGCTCACGAAGCCTCAAACAGCAGGTTCAAGGCCCTATGATCATGAAGATAGAGATCTGAGCACTTCTGGCATGATTTGGTACGCAGAAGGGGACTGGAGTTTACTGCATGACTCCTGTTGTCCTAGACCGATGCAAGGCTTCGATCCCTTGAAGACCTTCGGACCTATATGCGTTCATCTTCCAAGTCTGTTCCCTTTTCGATGCGACCTGACAATGCCCAGCCTCCGACCAACTACACAAGCCTTCGCTCACTTTCCCATTGCGAAATCTCTGAGCTTCCCTGCCGTTTGGATGCGCGCAAGCGACCGGGAAATCGGGTGCCGGCGACCTGTTCTGGTGACGGTGCTGTGGCCTTCTGACAGATTTTGTCTGAACTCGATGCCGCTTTTGCTGAACGACTGTTGACTCTGGAAGTCCACAGTCAGGTCCAAAGCACCTCCGCAGCTGCTTCTTGCGGTAGAGACGGCGAAGCCTTCCGACGCGGCCCGCAGCAGAATGTAAGGCTAGGCAATGGCCTAGACGTGCCGGATGCTTTGGGAGCTCTGACGACTGCTTTGGTGACCTCCAGACTCGGAACTCCCTAAACGGTTCGATCCCCTCTTTTCATCTCTGAACCCAAAATCCGTGGATCTTAAAAACTCGAAAGAACTCGAGTTCCACAATTCCTCACAAGAGAAAGTCTGGCGCCTCTGTGCCAGTGGGCCCCGTGTGGCAGCGGCCCGGCACGTCATGCCAGTGTCCTGCACGATTCCTGGTGGAACATCAAAAGGACAAGCCCTCCTATGCTCGTTCAAATCTTGTTGTAGTACTCACTGCTTGTCGTTGATAACTCCAGCGCTCGAAATCCAACCCCGCCCTCAAACCCATCGCAGCCGAGAGGCCCTCTGCATCTACGATGAACAACGCCTTCTCCTGCCATGGGCGTGGTCTTTCAAGAGCTGCAAACGAGGTGTCCAGCAGAGGGCTTTTGGACCGAGACCTAAGGCCTTGCTGAAATCTGGAAGTCTGTCGAGGGACGAATCGAAAGGAAGATAAGTGTGTTTACACTGTGCAGAGTCGCGCGAGATTCTTCGGACCTCAGACCCCTTCCAAGCTACGTCGGACCAGCCCGAACAGGCTCGCATGCATTCTGTCTCCAAGGTATGCGTGGATCGACAAAGACTCCATTGTTCCCTATGGGAAGCGGCATGCGGTTCTTTCTTTTCCTTGCACCCCTTCTTAGATAGCGAGGCCTCGATTGCCAGGCCCGGAACATCCAAGTGTGGCGAGCATCAGGCTCTTGGCTTACAGGGTGTGCAGCGGAATTCTACTCAGCTTCTGCAACGCAGAATCAGAACGTTTGACATCATGAGGGCTGACAGTTCAGCTTTGCCATCGCAAGCTGATAATGCTTGGGAGGCTCTGAGGGCCCAGCACGTGGAACATTGAAAACAAAAGGTGAGACCGACAAGCTGATACACGCCTAAGGCGAACGGACCTGCACTTGCAGCCTGCGTCCTATGCCAGTCATTGAGTGCATTCTCTCGCTGCCGAGGGCTTAGGAATAACAGATCTTGGACTGCAGGCCTCAACTTGGCTTCACAATACATTCAAGGGCGATTGTCTTGGACCCGTTCACAAGGACTCACCACTTTCCTCCAAGAACCTTTGCACAAGACCGTCTCAGCAAAAACCTGAGCTTCCGCCTGTGGTCTATGACAATGCCCTTCGGTATGACGCAGGACACCTCACTGTAGGTATGTACATACATACATACATACATACATACATACATACATGCATGCGTGCATGAATGCATGCATACATACATACATACATACATACCTAGTATAGACCCGAATCCAGAACATATGAACCCACCTAACTTCCTGACAAGGCGGAACGTAATCAAACAGAGCCCTCTGCTTCAAACAGGACTAGCGTTCAGAAACCCCCCACTTGGGTCCAAAACCAAGGGCCCCGAAACTTCGACACCTGGTTTTTCGCAGGCTCTTGGGCTCGAAGCCCGAGTTAGGATTTTGGGCATCTCGGAAATGGGAAGTTGTGAGGTGTAGGATGCTCTTGCCTTTAGAGGCTCAAAGGGCCTGGCAAGTGACTTCCGTGAGGGTTTGAACTTCACGGCTTCGAGCATCGGCAACATGGGCCGGAGCTCAGAGAATAACAAAAACTGAACAGCTTGGTCCTCCGGGTATTCAGGCTGCAGCTTCGGGGAACACGGATCCTTTCGCTGACCCAGAATCGTCGTCAATCATCACAACCAGGGGCTTGTGCGCCCCGTTAGCCCAAGGCTAAGCCGATACCAAACCAGAAAGGCCAAGCCAGCGCGAGAAGACAGCTCACCGACGGGATCCCAAGGTCCTGACGCTGGTGATATTTTATGAGCGCAGCTCAAATCCGGGACAAAATCAGGGAGTGGGAATCAAAACTGCGGGGGCCACGATGAAGGAAAACTTCAGAGAGCCCTGGGCCGGCTCGAAATCCGTGCGAGCCGAACTCAAATCTCTGGTAGTCTCACTGCGTCTTGCCTCTGAAGAGTTATTTCTTCAGCAGATTCTGGAGGAGTTCGTGTGGGACTTCCGGCGTCCCGACCTGGCCCGAAATGGACGAGTTAGTTCAGAGGTTCTGAGTGCCTTCGCGTGGACTGATTTTATGGAGACCCTCTCGCAAGGTGCTTCGCTTCAAATTGATTTCTTGGCTGCCAGCATGACTACTCTCACCTGATGCAGCAGTGAGATACTGGAACCACAACGTCAATTTTCATGACCCTTCCGCGGCGGGAAACAAGGCAGCTGCTGTCCTTCCCTGAATGCTGACAAGAGGAAGCTGCGCACAATGACGGCTCTTCATTGAAGAGGCCCAGTTGATACAGTCTCAAACCTGCGACACGACACTCACTCCAAACTTTCATCGCAAGCCTTCTCCATCTCCACATCCTCTGTCTTGGCTCGAATCAGGCCAGAGCTTCTCCTGGAAGCTTTCAGAAGTCTGTCCCTCCCACACTCAAGAAACCTCTTCCGCCGAGGTGCCTTCCGGCTCTCTTGTGCCGTGGATCATTCTCGTTGGGGCCGATGATGGCGTGGCTAAGCCGAAGCAGTTCCTGGAATCGTCACAAAGCACTCGCATCAGCGAGGCTTCGGGCACGAGTTCGCCGAAGAGGTGATGAAAAGACAGTGCATTGTAGGATGCCATGCAGTGTGCAGTTCTTGCAGCAGAGAGCATAGGCGCACCCTTGAAGCGCCCAGGCCATGCAGTTGCTTTGCCGGGACGCTGCAGAAGCTACTGTAGGAACCTGTGTAAACTCGTCCTTTCTCTGTTTACGGTTTTGAAGCTGCCCGAACACCGCCAGAAGGCCCCCAAATGCTTCATCTCGTGCAGGCCGGCGGCCATCTGCAGCCACTCCACCTCTCTTTGCAGGTAAATCACGTCAATGGCCTTGGCACTTCCTGACAGAGCATCCGCAGTGTGTTTCTGCACTCCTCTCAAGGCGACAGCAACATCTCAGCCCCAACCTGAATATTTCTGGGTTTTGTTTGCAGTGCTAAAGCTGAAGTCAAACACCATCGCTAAACGGCCAAACGTCCTTTGAATCGCATCATGCCCGCGATGAACCTTGGACCAATGGAGTCTGAGCGATGCAATTCAGGGGTTTCCGTGGGCAGCACAGCAGAGACCGAAGGTTCCATGAGGACTGATTTGCGGTGAGCGCCAGTGCCTAAACCCTGCATGTTGCGTTGGGGCGTTCTGGCCATCGCGTTGCATACGTCAAGCTCAGGCAGAGCTGGATCGCTGAAGCCCAACGTCGCAACACATCTGATGTCCCGCACAGGCAAGCAGCTCATCGTAGGTCAAGTTGCCATCACCTGATGCGAAAAGCTTGGCTCAAGTGCTGTGTTGAGTCCGTGGCTTGAAAACAACATCTGCCGGTCAAACACCAAGCCACCGTCATCCAACAGCTTGAAGAGGTGAGAGCCATCATTCACGTCAACATCCTTAGCACGGCACAGTGTCTTTCAATCTGGACTTTAGTCGGCATGGCCGTCGTAGGGGCTTCTGGGCCAGGCCCATCTCGGCCTCCCAAAATTGAAGCCCTCTCTTCCACTCCACGACCGTTCCCCAGCACTCCTCCGAAAAATCTGAAAGTTCAGGGTCCAAGATTTCGGCGGGGATGTTGCCTGTCTTCTCTGAGGTGTTGTCCATGTTAGGCTCCCGCGGTCCGCACGGGCTGATGGCAGATTTCGGAAGGGGAGCTTCCCATCCGAAAGGGAAATACGGAGCCCGAGCGGGAAGAAGCAAACCCAAGCCGAAGGAAGGGCAAGTCGTCAGCTTTCCTGCAATGCTAGATTCTAGGGACGTCATGTAGCTCCGAATCGTCGGGTCTTGGCAGAGTTGGAGGAACTCGTCCTGATCAGAAGAGTCTGTTTGACTTTAAACCCTCCCAATTAACCTCAGCAACCTTCTAAGATTCTAAGCCTTCGCAATTAACTTGCTCGGCTGGGACTTTCCGAGACCTGATTGGTCTTCGGCTGAAAGGCTGAGGGCCCTCACAGATCTCATGTGACCCATAGGCCCATAGTCATCAAGTGGAGATGTGGTCGAGCCTTGGACACCACCCCGTCTTGCGAAACGTCCATGGTCCGGAACCTCAACAACTTGAGCTGGAGATTCGCAGGGGCGCTGTGATCTAGGTCTTACGTTTGGGTGATTCCATGCAGGTTGGGCTGGGCAGTTAGCGTTGCATAGGATGGATCCGGGATGTGACGCTGCATAAACAAGCAGACAAGATGCTAAGATCCCGGGTGTGAGACTCAACTCTTTCAAAGCTTGAACTAGCAATTCAGTCCAATTTCGAGACGCAGCGGTAGCACTTGGCGAGGTGCTACAAAAGAAATTACAAGAGGAGCAGAAAAAATCCACCGATTGCATACAAGCCCCAAATTCACTTTACTTCGGAATCAGAAACGTAAAAATCTTCCTACTTCAGACTCCTAGTTCAGACTTCTTCCCAAGCTGCACTTTGTTGAGGCGCTTGATGTACTCCTGGCTCGCCTTGGCCTTCTCCCGCCTCAGAGCCAATCTCAGTTGTTCTCCATGAGACGAGTGATGAGATTCCTGCTTCAACGACTCGCCAGCCCAGAAGCTCATGTACTCCTAATCCCGAAACGAAAAACGCAAGCTAGCCTGAGCCCTGAAGCATCACTTCCTCTGGTTTTTGTTGGGAGATCTTGTTCCTACTTCTCGGGGCTCTCGGGGCGTACATCGGGGTCCTCTGTTTCTGACAGCGCCCAATTTGGGTTGGCCGGAGCACACCACAAGCTGGGCATCATTCTGCGCAGCATCCAGCGTCTCCTGTGGTTGGGCGAAGGCTTTAGGGTTCGGGTGTTCGGAGGGTTTAGGGCTGTAGGGCTTTGGGGTCCCAGGCTCCCGGCCCCCGGGAATGAAGATTCTTGAGCTTCGAATCTTTTGTCTGAGTTTCAGCGGCTTTTGGCTCGTACGACAACGTCGGCTTCTTCGCGTGCAGGATATTCTGATATACATACTGCCAAATGGAAGCGCAATAAGGCAACAAGGGTGCCAAAGCAAATCCTCTTCAACAATCTCAAGTACGAATTCTCCGGCCTTGAGGAAAATTGCCGAAATTACGCGAATCACCTTGGGAAGAGTGTGGGCGTCAGCTCTGCCATCTTCGACAGCACACTGTGTAGCTATAATGTGAAAGTAGGCGTGCGGTCCCAACCCTTTTAAGGGTGCAGACTTGGGGGGTTTGGAACGCAACAGCGGAAGAGATTCGGAATAGAACTCGGCTCGGCTCTCATCAACGTAAGGAAACACAGTCTGCGAGCCAAGTGGCTGCAAAAACAACGAAGACGATGTAAGCGACGAAGAAGAGCGAATAGCCTCGAATGGGATGGAGTTGCTGCGTCGGGAAAAGACTCTCCATTCCACCACGCCGACTTGAGCTTGAAACTTGAAGCTTCTCATTGAAAGCCCGTAGCGTTCCTGCACAAGCTGGATGCATGATACACTTCCTAAGACACATTAGTTTAAGTTGTGCCAAAACGAAACATGCTGTTGCACATTGTCAAAGCTGTTGTGAAACTCAAGCCACTGGCTACAAGACAACACGTTCGATTGGAAACAAGTTGGCCGAGTCCAGCTCCGACGTGCGATTCATGTTCTAAAGTATGACAAACGCAAACCCCAGCAAAGAACCGTCGTAACCATCAACATGCAGTTCGAACGTGACATGAATGAACACTAAAGAACTAACGCCACCCATTTCCGACAGAATAGCCAAGTCACCGACTGCTATGTCTTCGATCACAGGTCTTGCATACAGAGGCCATGATCCCGCAAAGGTTATTTCGAACATCGTGTAGATGGCCTCAGTGTTAGCTCGACGTCTTGTTTCTGTGTCAGCCTTCAGCGCTGCCGCTTGGCTTATGTTGTCAAGCAGAAGCGGTCGAAATGAAACCAACAGTTTCATGACGCCAAAACACTGCTGCTTGCCGTTGCCGCGGTCAACCGTTTGCGCAAATATGTTTGTAAATATTACTTGTAGGTCGGGCTAAAACAAAGACAAACCCCCGACACCCTGCTTCCGAGAGTGTCAAACCCAATCCCGAACCGTGTCTTCAATGTGAGGCAGTTGGACGGAGGAAATCTTGCACCGTTCCAGATCCTAAACTGTTGTAGCTCGAAAGGTACAAGGCTTTAGGATGGTGCAAAATTCGAAAACTTGCCTCATCCACAGTGGTGGTGAGGTGCAGTGAGCCGAGCGTTGACCAAGGCACGAGCCTGCCCTAACAAAAAGGCGGCCCTCCGGCGCAAGGCCGAAAAAGCACGAAACGATGGCGGGACAAATGAGGGCGGTAGAAGTGTTCCGCTGGCAATCCCGGGGGGTGGCGACCGGACCCTGCCAACCCCGTGGCGTCGTAAGATGCATGGAGCACTGACACTCCACGCTGGTCGAGGCTTGCTGATGGAAGAAATGCTCTTCGGCCCAAGATGAAGCGCCGCCTCCGGGGTCCTCAACCGCAACCCAGCAAGAGAGAATCCCCAGCAAGGACCCGCAGGCATCCACGGTAGCTGCATGAGCCATCTTATAAACTCGTTGCGTAAAGGGGCCTACATAGGGAATGACACTTGGTTTCAGGCACACGGGTTTATGAGAGATATATTACGGATCGGACGTTAGCTGACTCATGGCTCAAGCGATTGACATGTCAAAAGATATGATTTTTCAATCCGAAAACCTCGCATAAACATGTTTGAAACCTCAGGCTGAGGTTTTGGGGCTGAACCTGAAACCCACTCGGAGGCCTGAGACACAGGCTGCTACTGGTGCGTGTAGAAGCTGTTTTGAGTGCCTTGCTATCAGCCCTAAGCTATCCTTTTCTTGTGTCCTGTTGTCTGACTTTTCCCTCCTCTACCTAACCTGTGCTCTTCTTATGTCCTGGCGGTCTTGTACTAGCGGGGGTTCTTCACGTGAAGGTCTGCATCTGTCCTTAAAATCTAACAGCACTGCGGGTGGGTAACAAAACGCTAAATATGGCGAAACGACTAACGGCATACTGCATAGTTACGCTTGCCAGCACCTCCTCAGCTTAGGGACATTCATCAGTGATAGCAACAAAGCACGAGGCAAAAAACATAGGCGCGCATTTACAACTCTTTGGACCTGTCGCACAATAGTGTGGAACGGGCCCTTCACACATAATTAATGCTGGCCAGGCTTGGGAAAGTGAAGCAGGGCCACTGCAGCAGCACACGCAAAGTCGTTTCTAGCTACCAACATGCAAAGTGGTAAAAAAGTAACAAAACCCCGGATGGTGGCCGATCACCAACAGGCGCAGCAAGCAGATGGCACAGAAGAGCAGGCAAGAAGAAGCCCGAGAAGATGCAGTTCAGTGGTCAGAAGTGCGTGGGAGGAGGCAGATAAGATCCTTCCCGGTCCCAACGCCATCAATATACATACGCATATCTCATATGATGCCATTAGCGAAGGTGCCCGTGAGGCCGTTCCATAGTGCCGCCAAGTCCAGAGCTGAAGATCGGCGTCGGCTGCCGGGTCCACCTCAGTCGTTCTGTCGCGATGCATCGGTCGTAGCTTTTCGGTTTTTGCGGGAGATGACTTTAAGTGGGCATCATTCTTTAGTCTTAGGGCTTCAAGCGTGTGGGTCAACCCGCAGACTTTATGGCAAAGGCACCGTGAATCCGTGAAGGAGGCCACCAAGAAGGATGCCACCGGCCACAATAAAGAGCCCAAGAAAGATCATGGCCCACCTCAAAGTGTCGGAATGCAGATAAACCAGAAGCTTCTAAGTTTGGGGCTTAGGATTTAGGACGTCGCTTCAGTGGCAATTCGACACAGCAAAGCTCGCTGCAAAAATCAACGATCGAAAAGCGAAGTCCTTTTTGTGCCCTGCTGTCTCTTCGAGCGAAGCTCCAGCTTCCAGCCGCGAGAGGAATGCCTATGGCATGCAAAGTGTCCACCTAAAGTGGATTCTAAGAGCAGCTAGCCAAAGTTTGGGCCATAGGAATTCCCGCAATGCGGGCTGCAAGCCAACCTGAAGCAGAGGCTCAAAATCTAACATGCCCCGAAAACTATACATGGAGCACGAAGAATGGCCGAAATATTCAGAGAATAGTTCACTCCTAAGCTGTTGCCAACATAGAACGATGCTTCTTCGCACTGATGATGAAGGCATTATCGAATGACAGGAGAAGCTTCCTGATGCAACCTGTTTTTGGCTTTTGGTTAGGCCATCTGCAAGCTGATGATCCGAGTCGCACCACATCAGGGTAGTTCCCTGCTCTTGAATGTGCTGGCAAATAGCCTGAAGTTCCAGAGCAGGTACTTATCACGAAGACTGTACCCTGCAGAAGCTGTCTGACCCTTCATTAACGTGTCATAGACGGCTTTAGCATCAATCACCAGGTAGTCCGAGGTCATCCGCGAGGTCTCATAGCCTCGGAAGGATCGACCACATCTCCCTGGAGTTTACGCCATTGAAGCCCCATGAACATCAGCTCTTGTTCTGCATCTGATAGAGCTTGTGTTTCCGTTGCAAGGCTGGGCCGGGCTACTTTACTAAGCTTCCTGCTGTGCCATGCTGCCAGGTTCGCCGGTGCCAGGGTCGATGGAGGCTTGCGTAATGAAGCCGATCACATAAGAAATCTTGATGTTGAATCACCCGAACCCCCGCAATGGCTGAAGTCAGTGGCCTCCCAAGGGGACCACTTGTACGAGGCATGGAAAGCCTCGACGAAGGAGGTCCATACCTCATAATAAGAGAAAAATCATCCACGTGGCTGGTGATCACACCCACGACGATCTTCTGGTCTCTGTCCTGGCGGCAAACACGCCACATACATGGATCACAGACCAAGGGCTCGGCTCCAAGTCGGGCGATGACTTCAGCTCGCCTTTCATGGTCCTGGTACTCCATGTCCGCTAGGATTCGTCCATCCAGATTTGTCTCGATCACCACTACCGCCGGCTTGGTCACCGCTGTCTGCGGGAGACTCTGGCGAAGGCGCGCGAACCTGTTCGAGACTGCTCGCCGCGCAATGTGCTTGTCCTCGAGCTGTGCACCGACCCGTGGCACATAAAGAAGCCGAAGACCCGGGGCTCCGCCCGTTAGCCCAAGTTGCTCCTTCTTGGCACCAGCCTTCGGAGCACACTGGCCGTGCCCGCCGTCTCCAAGGTAAAGTGGCATGGCGCAGGAGGGGGATTTGCCATGGAAGTGCAAGGCAACCAAAGATGCCAAGGCACTCAGCGATGCTTTCATATCTTTTGAGCTCTGAGCTGTTGGGTCATCAGGAGGTACACAAGAGCTGACATGAACGTCATCAGGTGCTGGTTGCTCCGGACATGCATGTTCAACATGAACACTCTCTCCGATGAACCTGCAGGACAATCTGCTAAGTAAGTTTCCTCTTCGGACACCTCTCCGCGTTGTATGTGAAGAGGGATGGCATCCATCCTGAATCCTTGCTGCATCCGATCACCCCGAAAATCAATCGAAAGATGTCCTGTTTTGCCACCACGTAGCGGAATTGCAAGGTTGGGGTTGACTGCAACAAAGATGAAGGTGCCATTTCCGAACTTGAAATGCGTAAAAGGTGCTGCCAAAACTTCTACCTCCTCCACATGAGCAGGTAGGGACCCGACCGTCTGTGTAGCTCCACAGTCAATAATGCCGAAGCCACCCTTCCGAAGAGGTCTGGAGGAGCACCGCATCCTGTTCCGCATCTCCATTGGGGGCGTTCCGGAAAGGGCTCCACCATGACTGCAAAGCGCACTGTCCTTTCCTTTGCCGCCCTTGTGCTGGGGGATGCGCTTCGGGCACTGCCTGAAGGAATGATCCTTCTGGCCACAATTTTAAATGATGCATCCTGCGAAGCCGGCATCTCCGGGGCCAACAGCAACGGCATCTCCAGAAAAGAGGACAGGAGACGATGGGCTGGGACCCACGCTGTTGCCCTTGCCTTTGCCTTTGTTCTTGCCAAAGCCCTTGCCTTTCCCTCGCCACCCTTGAGATGGGGTGCAAAGGGGTAGAACCCTCGGCTCGCCTTGACGGCCTGAGTGAAGGATCGCACGTTAACATCAGCAGCGCTGTAGGCCTCCTCGGTCAACTGACTCTGCTCCTCCTTCTTGGAGTGGTTCCACCTCCAGTAGATGCCGGAGGCATGCTCGTGGTAGAAGTCGCCATCGCCTCACCATATGCAACTTCCATCACCCTCAGTGGTCCAGAATCTACTTTCAGAGTCATTCCAAGAAGCTCTCGGGTCCATGAAACCCTGAGCTGTGTAGACCTCATGAGGAAGCTGCGTCCCCACATGCAAGAGCTCAAGGTTTTCCATCATATCATCCACATCGGGCTCAGCCATCAGGCACATACTCCAGTGCCCTTCTTCTTCAACCCCCAAGGTCCTTCCGCTCCGATGTCCATGGCCTCGACGTTGGTCGTCATGTGTCGTCAGCTCCTCTTCCATGCTGCGGAGACCTCAAAGCGCAGGCTGCGGCCTGCCACAGCCTGGACTGCCAACCGCGACTGGGTCGTAAGCCCAGCCCGCCTGAGTAGCAGCCAGCCAAGGAGCTCGGTGGGCAATACGTCTTCCACTGCCTCTTCATATGGTGTTTCATCTAAATGTCTCTGCTTGAAGCTGGCCGTTATTCGGTGTACATTGTGGAGCCGCCTCATGCGCAAGAGAAAACGGATACATAACTTGATCGCCGAGGAGAAGTATGAAATGTAATGATGCTCAGCAAAAAACCACTAGCGCGGACTCATTCCAGTACATTTCTGCAAAAAACGCAGGAATCTGTCGAGGTTTCAGTATTCAGGGTTGAGCCTCGGGGTTCAGAAAGAAGCAAATCCCTGTCGAAACAATCTTTCACTCCGTGTCGCTGCTCTGGGCTCTGGCCTTTGCTCCCGAGTTCCAAGGCCCGTACACCACCGCTAAGCAAGCTAACTGGAACCTTAACGCACCCACTGTCTGCCTACAGAACGCCACTGGATCTCTCATGGCCAAAGCGAAAGTTGTCAACAACGCGCTAGTGCGGAGCTAGCGCGAAATGCCCGGACTTGTCCCCAAATTTCGGGCGCAAGGGAAACATGACGGGGAAACTCGAAAGGCCCTGATTTAAAATCTAGGGTCTCGTGGTCTCCCAACAGGGAAAGCGTGCGTACAACATATGCTGCCTTGTGAGTTGTCCCGAACCTAGCGTTGACAGTCTGGTCCAATCACGCTTGCCTATATAGAAACTCGAACGAAAACTCGAAAGCCACAGATTTAGGGTTAAACAGTGGGAACCATGTTGTGAAGCTTCATCTGAGACATTGTTGCTGCATTGGATCAGCCAAGCCTTGCGTCTTAATATGTACTTTGCTAGCGCCAGGCTATCGCGGATCTAGCGCCAAGGTGGGGGTCCATCGTGCCCAACATAGCGCCCCGCCTCATAGCGAAGAGAAAAAAGGGTTCTCTGAACATAATAATGGCCACCTCTACTTGAACTCTTGAACCGCCCTTTGTGGTGAAAGCCCATATGCATCCCACAAACAGAGGTCCTCCAGAGCCTTCGTGAAAAGTCGCTGTCGCTGTCCTTGCGTCGCCGTCTCCAGCCCTTCTCGCGTCAAAGTCCTCGTCGAGGTCAGCAGGGAACTCCTCCTCATCGCCGAAGCCGGGGTTCTCCGCCTATCTTTCCGACACAGTTACCGAACATTGCTTGACCATGTTGCCTTTGACATGCCTGCCGGACGCTTCAGACGGATCACAAGTTCCTCCAACCGCAATCCCACATCTGGGACTGGAGTCTTCCCCAGTCTGTCCCTGAGGAACTCCAGTAAGTAAATGGTGCCATTGCAGTGCACCAGTGCAGAGTGATCCAGGTCCTGGGTGATGTTCCAGGCGCGTCCCGACAGCTGCGCTACACTCTCTAGTGCAAGGAGGTGAGCCCGGCCGTCCCTGAGGATCGCCGCCCGATCTGATCTTCTGAAAGTAGCTTTTCTCTTCGGCCATGGAAAAACTGAGCGCAGATCGCGCTCCACTATCAACTTCAGTGGTTGCTCGATCGGCACATCAAAGCTCGCTGCAAAATCAACGATTCGAAAAGCGAAGTCCTTATTTTTGTGCCCTGCTGTCTCTTCGAGAGAACCTCCAGCTTCCAGCCGCGAGTGGAATGTCTATGGCATGCAACGTGCGAAGACTAGTCACTTTTCCGCTCAGCCG